GTTTTGTGTCCTAAGTGGGCGCTGTCCTCCACAATGGTGAAAATTAAATTAACATCAAATGAGCACCTGCAAATAAGAGTTGTTGCTAAATAGTATCTGCAACAAAACTGTTGTTATGTTTCTCATTCTAATTAGATGTCAGGGGGCTGTGCACTACTCGTTTGCAATGTAAGGAAGGTTTTTGGAAGTGGTGATTCACTAAGTTCTAGCTCCATCAAATCCGTCGTGAATCTTGATAGCAAAAGCAAACCCATCATTGCGGAATATTTTGGATTATAGGGTCTTGTGATTGTGACACGCTGAACTATCATAGGTAACGTCACGAGACGATTAGTACAGAAAGTCTACCTGCTATTCGGTTCTCGTATTATTTACGTAGCTGGAAATCTGTGGGTGATAAAGTAAATCTTCCTAGTCTTGCAATCAACTCATCGGATTTTCTTTCAAAATTGGAGCTCCGGTCAGGTAACTGCTAACAGTTGACGGGAATGTTGCGTGCCATGCAGTGGATTCGTTGGGTAGGCCACTGAGATTTCAAGAACACTAGTTCTCCACAAAACTTCAGGAGCAATGTTTTTCAAAAATTGCGAAAATCCTTAAATTCCGACTTGGTACAGTCATGGCAAGGTGGATCTTGCGGTCTTTTGAAGTCGTTCACGGTAGGATTTTCAACAAAGTGCACCACGAATTGAGTTGAAGGGACAGAAATCCAGGGTTAACTTTCTCAGCGCATTTTTCTCCATGGAAGTAAGCCCAGTCCTAAGAAAGTCTTAAGCGAACATAGTTGTGCAGAATGTGTTTGGAATTTGTATTTATGCAACCTTAGAAGCATAGTATGCGTACACCGAAATCAGTAGTTAAGTTGAGGAAATGTACCATTTTATTATTCAAATTGTACCTCTCTAGTGAGATGGAACTTGTCCTTTGGGTGATTTAATTGACAAATGTTTCATTTAGTGACCAAGTTATTGGCCGATAATGCCCCGGGCCCCCATCACGTGCGCAAAGACAACCAGTTTTGGTGAAAATTTTACTGGTTTAATGAACTTTATATAATTTGCACCTTTGTGGAAGGGAATAAAACCAAATACAGTAAAGAATACAATACTCAGAATTTATAGAATTCTACAGAATGTTGCTATCATATATGAGCTTGGATCCTAAAATGCTCAGCCTTTTTTTCCCCTGATTCGTCGGACAGATAAATCACGGGGCTGAGGAACCTGAAAACGCCAACAATAAGAGCCTATATCCTTTCAGCTCCAAATAAGGCACAATGGAAGGCTAGGTATCTTAGAACCCAGCAAGATATTCATCATAAACATGCGCCAAAGTTCTCAGTCTGCTTTGGTGATTAGATGGCCATAAGTATAGCTTGATGGCTTTCCAGAGGAAATGAACAGATTCACAACCATTGATCACATTGTATGAATAAGGCGGAATTTGATTGAGCCAAAATTTCAGACTAGCCTAGCAAATCTCATGAGAACCGCAAAATTATTGGACGAAATTTGGATATCATGTTCCTTGGTATAATCCAAAAACTGGGAACAGCTTCAGCCTTAAAATGTTTTGCGTACAAGATTGGTATTGTTTGCATATAACCCTATGCAAACTCAAGAAGAGAGCGGAACGTCTATTGCGATGCCTCAAAATACTGATCTTAGTGGTAGTCTGTGGCCTTTATAAGGCAAGTGCGTCAACGCAATCAGTACTGATTGCCTGATCATATATTTTAGGGCTTGTGAAGATGGGAATTTCTGCGCTGGTCTGACGTCAATGACAATCTGCACCCAAATGACTTTTTTTGGGTGTCGGAAATGGTCAAAAGTTGTGGACCGCACAAAACGTTGTCTGTTGATGGTTTCCCAACAATCAGTCTCTCGAGTTACCTTATGTGTTCGAGTGTCATCTCACTGCTGAAAGCGGGGATGGAAGATAGTTGGTCTTTTTGATGCAGTGCCAGGTGGTCTAAAAGTAGTTATATGTTTGAAGTAGGAGAGCTATTTGTTCGGCTGCTGTCGCGGGTGTATGAAGGTTTTCTCAAGCTACATGCGACTGTGTCAGTGAAAATGTACAAATCTAATTTCCAGATTTCTGGATTAGACCATGCTGCACGTTCAGACAGCGAACAGAGGATTATAATGACTGACTGATACAAATACACTGTACAAATACATCCATACGTGCCCTTCCTCAGCCATCCCATGTCTTTTTATTCAGAGCATGTAAGATGACCACGCAGAGCGATTAAAGCCAATAAGATTTTCCAACAATCTTGAAGAAACCATTTTTCAAACGGCTGGGATCTTTAGACTATTTTACACAGTTGCATATTTGCCAGCGAATCTGAATCATAAAATCACTTTAAAGTGCCGTGAAACCACATATTTGGCAAGAACAAGGCCGTTGGTAAGTGGGAGACAATAACTGCCGTCTGATGGTTTACATCGTTGTTTTCACGGGAAACTGACTGACATTCGAAAAATCAGAAAAATCGTGTAGGCCGCAGCTTCTTTCTGCTCAGCTGATTCAACCAACCCGCCGACAGGGCTTCTTACCGGTTCAACCACCTGTCACTCATTTCTTTGAGAAATAAACAGTTGGTTGTGTCCTATACTTTTGTGCATCGCTTGCAGAGGCAACTCGCCTAAAACTACCGCATGTTCAATAATACTTCGTAAACAGTTCGCTTAGGAGGACTAGATCATATCCACGATCCTTATAGGGACAACATTTTTGGTGAGTCCTTCACTCACACTGACTTTTGAAATCTATTCATTGCAATAAGGGTTCAAAATTACCTGGTACTGCTATGCATTTTGGTTCAAACCTCTTTGTGTATAAGCAAGAAGATGCATTTCAAAGTACACTTTCTTGCAGATGTACTTACAACATAGAGTGTCCTTGCGGATTTGATCAAGTGGCTAGTGCATGGCTCCGCTGATTCCATTTCTGGCTTGATGGAGAATTTTATCACGAAGACTAGGAAATAAATGTTATGGAGACTTTAGATTGACAATTTTTGTGCAGAAGAAAATGTATTAGATGGGAAAATGGTTGTAGCAAAAGGAAATAGGGAGCTCTGAATGTCGTCTTCACCAAAATTCACATGATACCCTATTCCTAATTTTGATAAAGTCAGTTTGAAAATCCACTGTCGTTTTTATTCTTCTTATGGCTCACCAGTTGGGCATATTCCGAGTGAAATCATGTATCCCGGTGACCTGGACAGTCGTTTCGGGTGCAAAAGTACAATGGGCTGCCAAACCCGGATTACCGAAACAGATACTTGTTTCTCAATTAGATTTGGAAATTTCGTCAGAAACTTTGCACCGTCATTCAACAACACTAGTTGAAGCTTTATTGGTACTCTGACTACACAGTGACTAAAGAGAGGATGTCATACGAGTACATACAAGTACTTAAGAGACCAGCGGACGGTCTAACCTTATAGACCATAATTAGACTTGACAAGATCGGATGAAAGACAGGTGCACCGGCCAGATGGCCAGCTAATTCTTGTCGAGAAATTTCCGAGGTTAATCTTGAGAACACTAGCGCAGCCGGCTTTTCCGGTAGCCTTTTGTGTAAACACTATAAAGTTTCAGGACGTTCTCAGTTGGACTAGCTTCCTTCAATTCCAGCGGTCCATCCTCCCATCAGCTTTCCCTATCAACACAAAGACCGCGTACGAGCTGACATCTATGAGCCTTCTTTCATAAATTGTGCTCAGAGTTAGAAAGGATACGATGTCTCGATTTCAGAAGCAATAATTATTGTTCTGAGTTGTCTGTTAGCTTGTTCACCGACTGTGGGAATCCTTTTGCAATTTCGCTGTGACTTTCTAGGCTGAAGATCTGAGAGCCGCCGCACAACTTTTCGACCTTGTTGGAAGCAATGCTAGTGAGCGTCTCAAGAAACCCCGGAGAGTCCTAAGCTCACAAAATGAAAGCATCTGGCTTGAATTCTTCACTAAAATTCCAAAATTTGCTTACTCCAGCAACCATTTTTCACAACATACATACATATCTCTGCAGCATGGCGTTAAAATTCACCATCCAAAACGGTATGACTGAGTGGCTTAAGCAACCCCCTTTGACTCCATCGGATAGTGGTATAATTTCACTTATTGCTTAACTATCCCCATGGTTTGAAAAAGAACCCACTGACAAACATTATTGTTTTCAGGATCTCGTTATCAGGTCAGTACATATCTAATGGTTAAATTAAGAGCGAAAAGTGAAGTACGCTGCAAAGATTGGTTAGTGAAATGCAAAACATGGAGACGCGAACTTTCACTTAAGTTTTAGCGACGCAAAGGTCACCTGACCAACACAGTTGATTAATTACCTCTACAACGAACTAATGTTGTTTGTGAGTAACGTGTAGCCTGTTCTGGGGTCATCACCGTTGTTGTACAGAACCGCGATATGCACAAAAAATGCCAAGGAAGAAAACATCAGCAAACTTTTCATAAAATACGAACACTGAGGACTGTTGCTGGCAAGAAAATGTTCTGTTTCTGCTTCTTAATATTGTCCTATCAAATAGAGTTGTATTTAAATAATGATATGAGGTGGCTGGTTTAGCTGATTCACTGTGAGAACCTTATGCTTATTAAACTGATGATACAGCAAACAGTGAAACGTAGTCGCAACTGACTGTCAGCATTACTTAGCGCCTGTCTGCGTGGCTCAAAAGAAGGACCAGACCACAGCGAACTGTTGGTTGCTCTGGATGACCCTCCTTGAGCATTGATTATACCAAAATAATCATTAGGATTAATTTCGGCATGATTGACGAAAATAAGAATAAAATAAGAAAATAAGAATAAATAATAAGTAAACAACAAGAATAAAACATGATAAAATAAAAATTAACTATGATAACTGTGTTGAAGCCTATGTGCATCTCTCTTTTCTCTTTTTTCTATCACTGAATGCAGTGGTTTTCATTCTCTTATGAAATTTTGATGTTCCATTCTTTTTAGTCTGCAGATCTATAAGGTGATCGTGGACGCCCGGCAATCTATTGACTTATGGACCAGTGAATTCAAGAAATATTTAGATATACTCACGAGTCAGTATGAAAGTGCACCAAAGAGTTTGCATCTGCTGTCATTAACAGACTAGACATCATAGTTTTTGGGTCTGCGGTTTCGTGTGTTTGGCATGCACAATCAAAGCTTAGAGGACAACGAGAGGACACCTGTAAAAGTGCAAGCAAGAATCGATAGCAGATTTTACCTGACAAGTTAGATTATGTGTTTCACGGCAGGGCCGTGGCCTAGGCCTAAGCCGGCTGGACACAACCGACCGTAGTAAATGACTATGAAATGTTATCTGGCCATCAGTGGCGGATAATTAGGACCCAGTTATGCAGTTTCCCCAATCACATAGCAAGCAACAAACATCTTTGTCTTCGCGGTTCGATTGCTTATCGTGATACTAGGTGCTTAATACTCTTTCATATCAGACATAGAAGCAAAGACAGATCGAATTGCATGTATAGTTAATGCTTACGAGCATTCTAAGCTGCTAACTGGTGCACATTTCGAGATTCCACTTGATTGCTTCTCCAGAGCGAGTAGTGATGACAGTCTTCTTGGTGCTGCGGATACATTATCAGGTTCACCAAATAAAGGCGCGCAGTTGCCCTTGCTTCCTGAGGAAATCGGGAGACGGATGGTTACATACACAGCACCAGCAGGCTGACATAAATATTGTGGCTGACAGAGAGTCAGAACATGTTTGTCATAATGAGCTAGAGAGTTTGATTTTTGTTTGATACACTCAGTGTACGCTAACTCAAGCACGTACCTAGGGACCCTACAGGGGAAAATGCTTGTAGCGCGAGTAGTGTGGTATCCGCGCAAAAGTCCCACAGCCAACCTAAGGAAACTAATCTCTAGTCCGAAAGACAACCGAAACAAAACCAAGAGGAACAATGTGTTATACTAAACCAACTTCAACAACTGCAACAAATTCTACGTTGGACAAACTGGGAGGAATAAAGGAATACTGGGCGGCCGTCAGGAGACGTGACCCCCTATCCTTCGTATCCATACAAGAAGACCCAAAAAGTCACAAATTCAATTCGGAAAACACAAAACTTTTGGCAAACGGAAACACGAAAGACGGAGTGGATTTTCTTGAAGCGCGGTACTTCACGGCGGATTCCATCAACCGGTGCATCGAACACGATGAAATTTACGCAGCTCTACGTGTAAAACACTAAGATCTCAGCCGGACCACTCAAAGAGGACCGAATATTCGTTTCTCAGACAAATAAACAAGGAACACTTTGGGTCAAATCAATAAAGTTTACAAGCCGGAACTCACAAGGCTCAAGGACAAGGGTCACTCCGGCATAGACCAGAGTACAGGGCACGGGATGCTCAGGTCAAAGTTTACGTCGGTTTCGACGAATGAGGACGCAGGATAGCAGAGCAACCAGTGGAACCACTCGACCGAACAACTAGTCGCGATCAAAGGTCAGCCCGGGCTAGCTGCACATTTAATAACACACACGTAACACTACTCAGGGCACAACCATCAACTCACCGTCACGCACCACTATGCTTCATAGTAACGCACTGATAATGTCACCTCGATTAGTGATGAAACGGTTGCAATCTAATTGCCCGGCTCAGCGAAAAAGCCAAAGACCATACATAGCGAATCTTACTTACTCCTAAATATTCCTCTGCGCATTACATACGTGCATGTATTATTTGTTTGACATAAATCATCCATCTTATGTAGGGCAAAACAAGGATTTGAAATTACTGTAGTATTACGCCTGTTGTATTTTGTTACGCCATCACAAGATTGCCTCTCCTAAAACCAAAGCATTGAAGTCCCCGTTTTCCCCCCCAGTACGGTGAAGGCAAATAGTATCTCTGATGTGGTTGATCAAATCCACTCCGTTTTCCAAGGATTCATTTCGTGGAACGAGTTCAGTGGAAAGAAGGGGGGAAAAACGTAAAGTTCTAGTGATCCACGCCTCACGGTGTGAACTACTATTGGGTTCCCTAACCTCACAGTGGAGGTTTTCATTGTAACTGTCAACCGTCACACAATTGGCGTACTTCAAGTCAAGAATCACCTCAATCGCTCCAACAAGTTAAGTAAATTGGTGTTAGCCCAGATAACGATAAAAGCAGCTATTATAGAGTTCCAAAATATTGATTATTTCCCTCGTTTGTTTTTTTCATGTTTGCTTCTCAGAAGATGTGGCAGTTAATCTGTACCGAAGCAGTGTAGAGAAGCATTGTAGAACATCCCGTTGGCTTGGAGATTAGCGTCCTGATATTGATTCAAAAAACGAAGGTCTTGGTAGTCTTTCAGTTGCAAAGTTTATGTTGTGGAATATAACATCACTGAGACTACTAAATCTGTTGCTCTCCGCTGGTGCTTATGTCTTCATCGGTAGACTCGCACTAAAATAAAAAATTAGAGATCAAGACCAGCGGGATTTGAGATGGTAACATGTCCAACTTCTATGATGGCAGCATTACACTTGATCAGTCGTCAAGGAAAGTTGTCAAAGCATAGTCAGTAGTTAATTCGCAGGGATTGGAGGAGTAATTTGTGGGAAGCGATCAATATCTGAGATGTTCCACGCCGTAAAACTTCGTTAAAATACCGACTACTTAATGAGTTTTAAGTAGCCAACTGAAACCGCTTTTCCATCGGACTATGGAAATGGAGTTAGTGACGTTTCACGTATGATTCGTTACTGCACAGCTCTCAACTCAGATGTAATGTGGAGTACAGGGGACACGAACATACAGTATTTAGTTTGTTCTGTACGGGACGACGGTTAAAGTATCATAACGTGGCACCATTAAAGTGAGACTTTCACTCGCGTCTTAAAATATTTGGAGAATACAAGGAGGAATAATGTAGCTGGCATTCGTGAGCTCCATTAAGAAAAGGAAATAAGCCCAACTATCCTGTTACTAGTGCATGAGTCACTTAGTGAGAATGATATTTGTGAAAAAATACGAAGTTCGCGGCTGAATTTCTATGGGAAGGAGACAGACCACAACATCACGGAAGAGTGCTTGTGACCGTCATGAAAATGAAGAAATGTTGCATCTCGACAGGGGAATACTGATTCTGGTTCAATAACCATAAAGTGTGCAGGAGTGAGATAAGTGAATTAAACTGCGAATGACGGGTGTCGAAAGTGAAGCCAACTACTTAAAAGAAAGCAATAAATAAAGGTAGCGCGAAATCGGGTGGACGAAGAATTTATCCGCTTGTGCTAAACATTCATCGATTGCCATTTGTGGTCCTTACGACATACTCGGTCGAATAACTTAAAGTGATTGCATAATGATTATTCGGCCCCACTTAGCGGCAAAACAGCTGTGAGTTCAGTTGCGTCTGCATGCGGAGTACCCGGGCGACATTTATACCAGGTATCCTTCAGGTGAGCAGTGACTGACAGAGATACTACTTTAAAATAGGGACCGCACTCGATTTTATTCGGGAGATGGGAACGAAATACGTTTGAGAACACATAAATAGTTGCTGCGTAAATGTTCTGAGTTTTTTAATAGAATGGGTATGACGCAATACCTATCAGATTTTTCTGAAGCGGTTAATTCTGTATATCGTTTGGGAGCCACAGAGAGAAGCGAACTTAAACGAGCTAGTTTCGGTGCATCGGTCCTGAGAAAGAAATGAGATATGATGCATTGTAAGACGAAGAATTCTCACAGCTTGTTGGCAGGCGATCCAAATCCTTGTCAACCACGTGGGAGCAGATCCCCATCAGATGACTCCAAAAAACAGATTTGCACAATTGTGCAATTGTGCCGTGTATGGTCCACGGCAGAACATCGGTACAAAGGGCCGCAGCTGATCGAATAATATCAAACTATGATCGATTAAATGCAGAGATTCGAAGTGGGTGAGCGAGTTAGAAAATGCTTGCGCAGATGAGTGCTTGCGGGTTTCCAGGGGGAGGTGGTTCAGGCGGCCTTGGGAGTATTTTCCTTAAATCAGTCGAGATTCCGTTATCTAGAAGGCATTCTTCACACAGAAAAACCGTCATGCTCTGTAAGTATGTCACTTCTGATAAGTGAGCAACTGATACATCAAGCAGACTTTTGCACTTTCGCGTACAAAATGATACTAACAAACGATGCTACAAAAGTCCCACGATACTGAGGTGATACAGAAAATGGCTCCAAAATAAGCCCATTACCCTTACCGTCGCCTTCCCGTGTTCTACGACTTTTAGCGTATGAGGACGTTGTAGTGCGCACTAGAAAGACATTAAATTGGGTACGCGTCGTCCGTCAGTTTCTTTTCACTTAAGGCATAATACCACACGTGCGTATAATTAAACAGGTCGTACCCCCACTAAAGTCCAAAATGGACCATTATGTGAATCATGAATAAACAGGCAATGCATGAGTGGCAAGGATGCAGAAATGTTCTCAAAAACTGTAGCAAATCCCCCGCAATTTTTACATCGATGCTTTGCTAATAAAAATGGTGGTTTTTCACGCGTCTCATTTCGCTCATCCAAACGTGTTCGCCGACTGCTCAACTGTACTTTTTTTCGTGCGAGTGGTGGAGCTTTCATAGTGCTAAGCACTGATGAACGGATCATTTATCAAGCTTCGAAAATCAGGTGAATGGATAGCATTAACTAAATACCTGCAGGCAAGTGAAACGAGGTGAACACATCATGCAGCGTGCTTAAAACCGCGCTCACAAATAGTTTTTTTGGAAATCCAGATGACGGTCTAGAGTACAACGTCATCATCATCATCATCGACAGCATGACATCAAGTCAAGGCATGCCAAGTCAAGGGTTGGCCACCTCTCTGTTTACACCACTTTGAATTGGGCATGGAAATCAACACTATCTTGAGCAACCCACTATTCAGTTAGCTCAATATATACCCAAAACATTGCAGTTGTAGCTGTTTGACATACCTGTCCTCAATACTGATCTGCTGAAGTCAAGTCTGAAAGAAGAGGGTTTCAGTCATCATAACTGTAGGCGTCACTAAGGCGCACCGGTATGATCGACACTTCAGGACACGATCTTTGAGTTGTATATACCCCCCACTACGAGGGACCGCCGAAAGAGGCCACTCTCTATCGAAGTTTGCTGCAAGCTCCGACGATCGGGCTCAGTGGTCCAATAATTAAATGTAACGTAAAATTAGGTTAACTTCATGTTTAAGCAAAATATGAGATGCCGTAACAGTTACCGTAACAGTTGGGCTGTACTTAGCTATGCTAAACTTGCGCTAGAAGAATTACGAGAGACAAGACGCGAAGGTTGGATCTGTAATCACTAGTTTCTTATCAATTACAAGCGCACTGCGTCTAAAGGAATATAAGCGCAGCAAAAATCTAATTGTGTGCTAAAATGCAAAAAATAGGTCCGGATTACAAAGTCGGAGATCATGGTGGTAGTCAGTAGTATGACCGGACGTAGGGAGCGGGCTTTGTCAACAGGCGGACGAAATGGAGGCTACGAACCGGCGCAAACATGGAGGGGACGATGGGAAGTAATGTCTGGGTTGGCTGTGTGGAACCACAATTTCATGGCATTAGCGCAAACGGACCATGATATTTAGCCAAGAATATCATTTCTGAAGAGTTGCCTAAAACTTGCGTTGTGAATTAATGACTGGGTGACAAATACACCCGGTCACATATCAGTTCGGGTTTCACGGGAGAATCAACTGAACTCCCCATTTAAAAATTAGGCCATTTGGAATGAATTAGGCGGCGGTTAAAGTTAATTACCAAGTGACAGCATTTTTAAAGGGTGACGCTCAAAGGTATTTAAGGAATGTGACACTGACTTCCACCAGTTTGAGGAGAGGACGCGTGCTGCATCGGTTCAAGTATCATTTCAAAACCCTGAAACGAGAAATGACGTTATCATAGACCGCTCCAGCCACCCAGTAATTCATTCAGCTTTCTCCGGAGTGACTAACGAAATTCAATTGCGAAACTATGGCTATTAAGTGTGGGTTGTATCATATACATACCAAGATATAAGCGTAGTCAGTGACGGCTGTTGAAGTTGGTTTTCCGAGAATTCGCTTCACTTACGACTTACCGAAAAGCCTACGCTAGTTGGCTTTACCGCTGAAGCTCACTGGCGTATTCAAACGTACGTTTACTGTAGACCGTCTTCAACACAACTTCATATCCGATCCCCAGGATGACATGAAGAAAGGAAAACCCTATGCCTACCAATATACTTGCTAGTGTGGGTAACATCAAACCGGCTTAACGATGAGAATTACCTACGTGTATGCCTGATCACATCTTCCTCTGTGTTTAGGTATCGGTACATAATGTGGGCCAAGTAAACCAAGTTGAAAAAGTTGATTATACAAGGTTACTCTGAGGTTAGTGAGCGGAACCACATTTAGGATTGGTAAATTACTGAATGATTTCATTTTACACACAGCAGACTCACCAATTGAAAAAATAGGCTGACATCCTGAGTCTGGTAGGCCATCCGGAATTTCCGTCGACCTTGTAAGCGGTATTAGAATACAGTAAACACCTCAGTGGATTTTCCGACCTTCCAAAATTGCGGGAAAGCTCTGCTGGATCGTTGTTGTTTACGACGACTGGGAAATGGGTTTCCGTACGCATCAGTGAAGAAAGCCCTAATCAGTTGAAAAAAGTATTTGCGCCAAATCACTGCAAATGCTAACAAAATCCATTTTAATAGCATGCTGAGCCTATTTGCCTATGTAGGCACCGACCGTGTCATTCATAACCGATGCGTTACGCATTAGAAGTTAGCATCATTTCGGAATCAAGTGCTCCTACACTTTTGGCGATCGGGTAATATTTCTTTCGTGATTACCAATCAGAGTAAAATCAGAGAGTAAAGATGGCAAATGGTTCCATGTTTAGCACAACGAAGGCCCGTCCAGTGTTTCCTAGAAAATGATTCGTTCAGTACGCACGTCCACATTCTTCGAAACGTCTGTGAGGCTGACCGAAAAGGACATTTTGCTTGGGTTTTCATAACATTTTGACTTAATTTTTGGAGGATATCAACCATCTTTATTAAGGATGATTCCTTTCTGGTCAAAGGGATATTTTGAACGACAGTTTTAATTTTGATATGGTACACGTCGTTTGGTTACACATTATCGGAGGCGCTTTCTCGTTCGCAGTGCAAGACGAGGCGGCTGTGGTTGCTGTTCACTCATTAGGCATTTGGCACGTGCAGCCTTGAATCCAAAGGGAAACAAGAGATTTGGTACCAACACCGGTCGCTACGGTACATGCTGTATTAATTATCCCAACTAACGTCAGTCAACCCCCTGCCGGTGGGAGTAATTATCCCAGAATGTGGGCCGTGTACAACCGAGGATTACTGAAGTTCTCAGACAAAATGAACTTACCCGAACATCGTTATGTTCCAAACCAATTCTGTTCTGGTTCGTTCTAAGCAAGAACAAATGATCTATCCTAGCAACATGATAAACATGCATTCACCATGCCTACGACTTATGTGAGAGTCACATATTACTGATTCCAACAGCCAGTAGTACACTGTTTAAAACTAAAGGTACCAACCATCGCATTACGGCATACCGATTGTTTCCGACTCACCTGATTGCACTCTTTTGCAGGCACCAGAAAGATTGCGGAAACGTCTTACAATGCATCTGACTGAGCTGTATCACTCTCAGTACATTTTGAGGAGTCTTATCCACCCAAAGTCTCATCGACCGAACTGACATCATCCAAATAATACGAAAATTGATCTCATAGAGTGCTCAAAAAATAACCGGCAAATGGCAATTTATTTATGTTTTACTGCTACGCTCCGAAGAAAAACAATGTATTTTTATTCTACTCGCAAGAAAAATCAATCACGTGAAAGGTTGTGTTGGATTGCTAACTGGATACCGAAATCGTGAAGATATACCGATATATCACTTGTCAATGTAAATTCGCAATGACTTTGTTTGAATTTAAAATCCTGAGTGACAAAATACGTCCATAAAGATTCAAACAAATTGATTTTAAGTGAAGTGGTCCATCATGACATAGGTAACACGGACAACAAAGTGCAGAGGGGGACCATAGAATCAAGCAAACCTTAGCTTTACGTTTGGTCCCAAGTTTCACTAACATACCGTCCAGTACTGCGGCTCTATGGTTGGAACACTTTGGGGGTAGGGAAACGAATAAGCTTACACCGCAGTTCGATCTTTCAGTGGTCAGCTGATTCTTGAGACAAACGCAACATCCAATTGGATTACGGAGCTAAGTGATCGGAAAACATACACCAGGAATGCGTCAGTGAGGATTGCTAACTGGGTGAGAATTCCGCCTGTATTCAAACGGATTAGTCCGTTGCTTGTTTGACCAATCGTAACCAGGTTTCAGGGTTTCGCACTGTCTTCTCAGTACAATCCAACAACATCTGCTAGTTAGTGGCGATAAGTGCATACAGCGGCTACATGCTTCAGGGCAAAGATCAAACGGAGGCCAATTTTTTCCAATGGTTATCTTACAGATCCAAAAGATGTTATCACACAAAATATCCGGTTGGGAGAATAATAGATATAATGGACGACAGATGCTTTCTTACACCCAAAATAGCAAGAACAGCTTTACTACCTAATATAGTTAGCTCTAGTAAACAGCACAACGGGGACTTAAATCATAAGGGATGGAAATTTGACGCACCATTCCTCATTGGGTGCGGAAAATGACAGCCGAATCAACTCCATGGCAATCCAAACAGTGATCTTATCCAGATTTGCACTATGACCGAAGGTCGCACCAGGGCTGATATGTGAAATATTAAGAAAGCTTTCCAGGCACATTGGTTGCTTGTTCCCCATATCTCTCGCTCTATCGTTTGACCCCTCTTTTTATTAAATGCAATCCAGTAGTGTATGCAAACAGCCTTCAGACTGATTGTTCGGAACTCGTCTTTAGGAAATCCAAATAAGGACTCAACCCATCGTAATTTAGGATAACTTCGTTCATGAATCAGTGTTACCATCAGTGTTTACCATAAACGACTTGGAAAAGTGAGCCAATATTCATCTCAAAATAATCTCGGACAGTATAAAAGGAGTTGTAGGAAAGTTATCACCCTGTCACCTACCACCCTTGGTAGAAACAAGGCATTTTAACGCCAAACCCAAAACCAAATACTGATTCAGGGTCTAAATTTCTGCCTACTGGCCACATAATACACTGAAGCTATCACACAAATGTCGTATCCTTTCCTTATGAAGTTCGCAATATAACAATTTCTTCGGTACAGAGACCACCTTGGAGAGTCATAGACTTCCATTTGCTTAGTGTACATAAAATAGGGATATCGTCCACTATATGCTAAGGGATTATAAGGCAAAACGTTTTAAAATCACTGGAATTTCTTTACAAGTAAAACAAATGTGTTACCTTGCTGATTCTTGGCTATTTCCGTGTTTCTGTGGTTTCTAAAGCTTGACTTCTCGTTAAAACGCACATTTTCTAGTTTCCTCGTCCCAAAATGTTCGTCATAATCTTTGGAAGTTTTAACCAACTGGAAAAGTAGATTATCCTGTATAAGAGAGTCTAAGGCTGGTTTACAACGAAATCCCGTGAGGAAATCCTTCAAGTGTTTGACTTAGAAAACCGATCAGTAGTTTGTACAATTCAAAGAGAAACCTTAGAAGTTCATGAGCGAAATAGCAAATAATGTCTGAGGTTCTATCAGTCGTAAAAGTTATCGGTGAGGGGGAAATCCTAATGCAATTAACTAACCTGTCTTTCGGGGGGGGGGTGGGAGAATTCCGCTAGTAAGTTTTATGACACAGAAATAATGTACACAGTGTTGTGTAGTTCTCATCATTGTTGCCATCAGTTCAATTCAGTTTCTGTTCTGTAGATCAGTTATAAACCAAGAGCCTCAGGTGGTTGGTCCCAGCTCCTACAAATTTGGTCACCAAAATAGGAGTTTTGGGAGATAAAACCAAGCACTGGAGGCAAGAGCGGCATGGGTGAATGCACAGTAACTTGGTCTAGTTGTTTGAAGTTATGGGATACCAGCAGCTACCCTTTCAGATCGATCGCGTTGATGTCGGGTCACCACTGACTATGTGATTGTGTTATGTCTGACAATGTCATCAAGCGTCGATAAGTTGATTTCCGGAGTTCTCATCCTGAGAGGTAGCAGTTTTTTACTCAAATGAATTGCAACGTCATTGACCAGTCGTTTTCACACCTCTCAAAACTGAACAAATGAGCTCCCCAAGACGGATGTCCCTTTTTGGCATGCGCAGTTCATGTTCTAACCAGCGTAACCCACAAAGTGTGAGTAACTCACGCATTGCTGGTAAGTACATTCTTTCTCAACTCATCCAACCTACCTGAGCATTGAAAATCCGGTGTTCAGCCTCAACAAATACTTTGGAGATACCGAGGGTCAAAAGCAGAGATACTTCGTACATCATCTGCGTTTATACGTCAAGTTCCTTACCCACAAACTGCATGAATAGTTTTGCCACATTGTATACGCTGCCCCCCCCCGTGGTCTACAGAGTCGGAAGCAGTTTTTGTCAAGAAAAATGACTAACGTTGGCAAGATAAAAAAATAGGGCCAAACCCAGCTTGGTTCTCTGAAACAAACGGTCAACCCACTCAAATTGATGTCATACGCTAGCTTTGCGTAACGTTCCTGCACCTTTTCTGAAAATAGTGATCACATCTGAAGCGCTTCAGTTTAGCGTCTAATTCTTCCTTTGGAACTTTCATTGGGGTTTCACCACCCAACCAGGCTTTGTCGGGCAGAAGCTGTGATATTTGCTCTGATGGTAAACTGATATTGCTTATTCATTCATACTCGTTGGATGCGTAAAGGCTTTATGTTTAACAAGGTCAGCTGAATGTTGTTTAAAAAGGTGAAACAAAAACTCAAGAAAAATCTTCCGAGATCTTATTGCTGTTGCATCGCTTTTTTAATTTTTTGGCTGATACCTATCATCATTTAGCCGACTGTTCAACTCAGCTGAAGTAGAAGTTAACTGCTGCGTGTGGTGAAGGCTTTCAGTGAACTTTTGCAGTTCACCAGCGTTTTCTGTCATTCTTCATTATCTGTCGTTTGAGAGGTATGCGTGTGTCGTCGTGAAGGTTAGTTGCTGTGATTATTTGCAGTAAAATCAGTAGATCATCACAGTATCCGTGTTCAGTTGTTCTATAGCTTTCAATTTGTTTCCAGTCGGATGACTTGGACGACAGACGTAAGAGCTGAAAACATAACACTTTTCACTTTCTTCCATTAGTCTTTTAAGGAGCCTTTGTCATCAGCGCGACCGTACGGTTCCAAGAGTTTTCTAGCCTGACCTCGATATCCTGGAGCTACAAATGCTAGTCTAAGTTGATGAAGGCAGTTCTTCCGTGCAATACTTCTGGGTGCAAACAAACTGAAATCTAAGTCCAAACCATGGCTTGATAGAAGACGATTTGCTTGCCCCAAAAGGAATGGCATTGTTAAACTGCGACTCTCTATCGGCGATCAGTAGACTCCAAGTGACTCAATGTGAGTGCTTGCACTAAAAGTTTGTACTGGTTAGGGACCGGTGAATTGCAGCACATACCTTAAGGAATGGCACTTTATTTTCTGTAAGCTGAGCACCGACTTAGGACCCAAAACTCAACTGTGCCTTTTCCATAGTGTAGTCGTTCAAATTAAGCAGTCATACCATACGTCAGGTTGAAGTTATCCTCTCTTGGTGGATACTACTGATGAGGCATTCTGCCTCGCATCTAATGGTAGGCGAGGTTTATTACGGAACTTGTGAAAACCGCTTTGCAGCGCTCGTTTACCATTGCTTGATAGCTAATGAACATCATGAATGTTCAAGGAGACGCGTGAGAAGGTTCGGTTTTTAAAAACTGTGTGCATATGAGACCTTTGATTTCCTGTCCAGTCGTTTGTAATTGATTGATGCTTTCTGATGCGGCTTCACGCCGAAAAACTTTCTTCATTCAGTAGTATCCGTCCTCATCACTGAAAGTATGCAGCGATGAGGTTGAAGCCATCAGGAATGACATCATATAGTCCTAATGGGTCCGTCTGATGACACCCGAGAAGGTTGAAACTAGTTAAAGTAAGATGACCTTTGTTTCTGAGTTATTTATTTGAAAATGCCTACTGAACAGTTACGGACTACTGGACAGGAAAGCAAAACTCTTATATACACCTCGTTTTTAAAAACATAATATCCGTCTTATTCTTGGGCCTGGATGTTCTTTGACTATCACGTGACTGTCACATGTTAACGAATGCTACAAGGCAATTTCACAAATTCCTTAACAAATTTTACCCTCCATTAGATCAACGCGGATTTATCAGAAACGCATACTACCCACACGCTTCGTCAGTAGTATTCACCGTTACGTTGTTAGTGAACCAGCAAAGGTTTTGAGCAAAGTTATGTGAGCTGTATTGGATCGTAAAAATGTTGTGATGTCTAAGATGTCACCCTAATCGAAACAAAAGATATCCATCGCGGAGAACATTCAGTTGAAATTATTATGGACGGAGGATATGCTCGACATGACACACCACTTCTGAGCCTGCTGAAACTGCTCGAAGCCCGGCATTCGTTTCATCCTTTTTGAGGCTCTTCACATAGGTCAAGTCCTCATGCTTCTACAAATATTTTGTTTCACATCAATACTACATTTTGAGCGTTTGGAAGAATCCACTTATGTGAAGCGCGTTATGTCACGATAATATATTTGATAATTTAAATAACATGTCAACTGAAGCACCAGGAGCATTTGGTGCAGCACATTCAGTCGAAGAACACAAATGCCGTATTCAGATGCATCTGTCGTTCAAATCCTTTTAATTTACAGATGAAGTCATTTTACAACTGGAACACAATTCAGTTTTTAGTTGAAACGTAAGACTGGTGAAAACTGAAAGATCATGCCTACCTGATGAGTTTAAGAAGGGCGAAAATTTTATTGAGCTGCTGGAGACCTGTCAAAAGACTTATTTGGCCTGCTCAAGTCAGCTCAAGTCATGTATTGTCGGTAATGTGATAATTCGGAAACCTGAAAGCAAGAGGAGTAATGTCTTGTTTCACAAAATTTGACCAGTGTTCCTGGGGGTATCCTAACAACGGTAGACGCGGGCTTACTGAAATGGGTTAATTTTAAGGACAAAGCAAAATAAATAAGCCGACTTCAAATCATTTAGCTTTATTCATCAGAAACTCAATATTTGGCGAAGTATAGTGTGTTTAAGTGCAGAGTTTAGATTGGCAGCAAAGAGTTATTTGGGATTACTAGTATACTAGTTATCTACAGGATGCATATCTTTTAAAAATGCACTAGTTAATTTCTGGGGCACACACGAGCGTTTTCATCTTCAGTATCGAGCCATGAGTTATGCTTAACAAGTTTAACAATCCCTTCGGGGACTTCTAAGCCAGACTTACCTCCACTACGTATGACTCATGAGTTGTATGTCAGCTCATCGACTAGTTAGTCACGTTCAATGTCACGTTCTGGCCACGTATATGCCTACCCCATTCACATAAATGCCATATGCTTGTAAAAAACGATCAAGAAGATATTGTACGTGTTATACAGGCTTTGCAGAACAGCTATGAACCATCAAGAAACAATCGACCAACCAGTCAGTGCTAGAGGACTAAAATAAACGCCCAGTGATTTTGTGAGCTATTCCAAAACTTGTTGAATAACAATCGATCTGTCGCTGACACGATTCTACTAATAATATTCGATATCCCACAGGTTCTGTCTTAGGACGCTGTATT